TAAGTGCTTTAAATTGAATTTTTTTAAAAGATGAGTATTTCAGAGAAATCTTGAGGTAATTAAGAATATTTTGAAATGCTCCAAGGCAATTTATCCTGCTTTCCTTTCAAATTCTGGATCTAGTTTATTGTCTGTTTGGAATCCCTGTTGAATGCCCTTATGGATGGGCTCTTTAGGTTGTCCATCTAACTGTAACTGAGAAAAGGCAACCTTCATCCACTTGGGTTTTCCTTTATGAATTGTTAGAACTCTTTTGAGTGACTATGGCTCACATTTATGAGGCTCTTCAGTTTTCAAGAGTTTGATACAATCAGCACAAAGTCATCTGCAAGCGGGAGCACTGGGTAGAATTTACCATCTAAAGGTGGTGAAATCTAATGGCCCCCTAGTACAAATGAAAGAATTTCTCTTGGACTATTTGGACTATATGCTGACTGTGCTCCATGACAATGGTGAACATCTTTGGTTTTCTGTATCCATTGATGTTAATAATCAGAAGGTCTCTAACAGTTAGGGCAGGAACTGTTTTTTGCCTCTTTTTGTATCCTCAAAGCTTAGCCTAGCAAATAGTGGACACTTATAATAAATGCTTATTAATTCTTTGATGCTCCTTACTGACTTATTTGAAAGGAAATGGCTTAGCCACTGAGATGACCAAATAAATCCAACTTAATTGTTTTTCTGTCTAGTTCTTGCCTTTTAATGGAATTGGTATAAGTATGTGTTGGGATAGGGCAGAGGTGAGCTGGTAGTGGCAGGTGGGTAAAATCAACGTGGTAAAAAAAAATGCTTGGATCTCCTTGGCCCAGGAAAGCAGCAAAAGCCTCTGCTTGGAGGTGCCAGGATCTATTTCTCTGAACCTGCAGGTTGAGGAGTGGGGATAGAGATTTGACCAAGTCCAGAGATAAGTATAGTAGTGCCTTTTACAGTTTCCCTGGATTTTCTCTGGAGAAGGATTGATGGGTCTATCCTCTGCATCCACATTGGGCACACCTGGTTGTGGAGACTTTTTTCCTCTATCCTCTGATACTATGCCCACCCCCACCCCCAACACACACACAAACACCTTTTCTTTTTAGCGGTCAGGCTATCTGTGCATCCCGAGATTCCTCAAAAAATGTTTACCAAAGATCAATAAATAGCTGATCTTCTTGTTTCCTAAAGGCCAATCTCTTTAATTTAGTGAGTGCACTTAAAGGTGCAGGAATAGGTTTAACACAACACTCCACCTCGACCTCTGATTACACTACCTTATTGTCAGTTTTTTGTTGTTGAAACGCTTTCTCCCTTCCCACCCCTTCCCTTCCCCCATCCCTCCTTCTTCCCCAACTAGGGCTAAAATATAGGGTTCCAAGGTCTTCTAAGTCTGAAGCCTTTAACCGTCGAAACAGCTGTGGGCTGAGGGTAATTCTCCAGAGGTTCCCTTGGCTTGCGCCCCCTGCCCGCCTGTCATCCCCGCATTCCCCCTCCCCGTTCCTCCTGTTCAAGGCGCTTTCTCTGCTATTGCCACTATACCAATCACGCCAGAAAGTCATCACGATGATTTCAGAGAGGCATTGTGATTTATGCAAAGCACGCGGATAATTACAGCCCGGCGCTAGGAGAGAGAAGAACACAAGGACGCACGGGGGGGGGGGGGGGGAGTGAAAGAGGAGGGGGAGGGGAATGGGAGATCGATGGACACACTGAGAGATGAAGAGAGAAAGGAAACAGAAGCAGGAAAAGAGGGAGAGGAAAAGAAGACAGATCGAGAGAAACAAACGGAGAGACAGACACACAGACTGACACCTAGACACACAGAGGGAGAGAAAGAGCAACAAGAAACTAGAATAGACATAGAGCTACAGGAACACAAGGAGCATTTGAGCTGCCTGGGGTGGTTTCTCCTCAGTGGAGTTTTCCTAGACGTCCTGGTTGACTGGGGTTAACTGGAGGGGGACAGGGGCGTCAAATACTCCCATCTAGGAGTTGAAGATAGCTTGTGACCACCGCCCAAAATGTTCTTGAAAGCGAACCATTGAGGCCAGGCCAGGAACAATGGTTCTCCCAGGGTGCAGTTGAATTCATTTCATTCAGAACCTCTGAGAAGGAGCTAGAGCTACGCAGGCTGGGACTAGGGGTGGGGGTGGGGAAAAAGCCTTACCCCTGTACTTCTTTGGGCTTGTTAGGTACCAAGAAAGAGAAAATTCTTCCTTCAGATTACTCAGAAGGGAAAAAAAGTCTCTATCTCAGCACCTATGATTTTTCTTTTCCGACCTTGAGAGTCAGCTGCCCAGAAGTCCTAGGGCATAGTGGAAGCGAGGGTGGTGTTGCTGACTTTGCGTGTAAGAGGGAACGAAGAATGTGTAGTAAGGTTTTCTGCTGCAGCCTCTGTAGAGCTCGGCAGAACGCACGTCACAGATTTGAAGCTGGGAGAGGTCATTTGGTCCAATCCCCTTAAACAAGAACCAGGATTTTCAAACTTAGCGCCAGATGCTCTACATTTCGAGCTCCGTGGCTTTCTTTAAAGTGTCAGAACTTTTGTGAGTGGGGTTCGTGACTGCATTGGTGTTTGGCTGTATTAGTGGTCCCTTTCAAAAAGATCAGGCTGGATTCGGCATTTCCGTTTCTCCTTCTCTTTAAATAAAGATAGTTGAGGGCATTCCAAGTGGGCTGTCATTTCACCTGATCCTCTTGTACCTACTAAAAACTCTGATACTAGTAGGCTGCACCAACATTTCCATCCTCGGGCCCTCAAAATGAAAATAATTATGGGATACAATCTTTGGTTATAACCCTTCCTACCTCTTTACAAGGGATCACAGAATCATAGATTTCTAGCTGTAAGGGACGTTGGAGGTTACTTGGTCCAACTCTCTCATTTTGATGAAGGATTATATGCACAGAGATGTTGTGACTTGACCGAGGTCATAAAGGTAGATTAGATTTAAACCCAGGTCTTCCGACTACCAATGCTCTCTTTGCACACGTATAAATATTTCTTGTCTGTTAGTGCTGTGTTTTCTCAGTCTGTTGTGTCCAGAAAGTTAGTGTCACATATTGACTCAGGCTGAATAAGGGGCACTCCCTGCGCCTGTTTCTCAAGGGAGTTCACCTATTAAGGCTTTTCCAAACCAACACACACACACACACACACACACACACACACACACACACACTTTTTAAAGCCAGGAATTTGTACCGGAATCCCAAGGAATAAAATATGCTTTGACCTACGTGACAGATTTAGACAAAGCAAAAGAACCGCCCCTCTCCGCCCAGCTCCACACCCCTTGGATCTCGAGTTCGGGAGACCCGAGCCCAACGTACGGGGGAGAGGGGAGGGGGCAGGGTCTGGGAAGTGTGATCTCCAGGGGCTCACATAGCCCCCTACTGGTCACCTTAAAGGGCTTCGCCAAGGGGGCCAACTAAGGGGTAGGGAGGAGGAAGGTGCGGGAAAGTAGAGGAAGACAGAATCCGTGACCTTCAACCCAAGGCCTAGCCCACGCCCGGAGGAGAAGTTAACAAGCTCTCTTTGGACTAGTTCGATCTTTCCTCAGGGTTTAAAAAAGTATTAATCCCTTAATAAAGATGTGGGATGCAGCTAATGATCCTCGAAGCTCTCGCTCCACCCCCCCTCCCTCTCTTCTTTTCCAGGTGAAAGGCAGGGTGAATAGCGGGGGGAGGGGGGAGAGGTAACGACTCGGGGTGAGGACCCACAGGGTGTTCCAGCCGAGAAATGCTTCAATACTGCCTGGATAGGCAGAGGAGGTCGGAGGGCCAGGCTCTGACGCACACCTGTTCTCCCTCCCCCCAGGGGCAAAAAAAAAAGTGAAGGCAATGTATGCTTCGGTCCCTCTGGCAGGGATGGGCCTATCTTTGTTCTGGGGAAAAAAGAAAACACCTAAGTGAGAGGAGTGGGTCGGGAAATAGGCACAAACACCAGCAGCAGCAGCACCAGCACCACCACCAACCCTGGCCCCAGACCTATTGCAAAAAAAAGAAACTAGGCACCGACAGGCTCTTCACCTTCAGCTTCCCTCTCCCACCCTTCATCTTCCCTGTGTGACCCCAATATTCTAGCCCAGGCCAGAATACAAGCCTGCAAGCCTCCAAAACTTCCCGCAGGTAGTTGCAAAATGAACAGTTACTCACCTCGGGTCAGATGCAAGTTTTACCCTCAACAGAAGGGACACAGGGCACAGAATGAACCAAGCTCACATGGGCCCCGTCCAGAGAGCGCTCACACGCACACACACACACACACACACACACACACACACACACACACAAGCTCTCATATGCAGGTCTTACTCGCAGCCCCGGAGGAGTGGGAAAAGAGCATTTTGAGGAAGCCCCAGTATCCCCTCCCCCTTACCCATTCCCCAAGAAAAAATAATCATAATTCACTTTTATTACTGTGGGAGCACAAAACAAACGCACATACACATACACCCAAGTCACACTTCCATATAATGCACACACCCTGCAAATCCGCTTCCCGAGCGCTTGCATTTTCTATGGAAGCCGCTTGGAGGTTCATTAATATCATTAGCATTTAACCCCCTCCCCCTTCTTCGCCCCCTCCCAGCACATAGCTGACGTCAGACCCCGCCAGGAGTTGGGGGAAAAGCAGGGAAAAGCTAAGTGGGCAAGGGACGCCCTATTCCCCTCCCTACTGCTGCTGTCAGAGCTGCTCTGGAGGTATTATAGGGAATCCAGCCCGGAGCTCCAGACACAAAGTCACAGTGCAATGAACTTCTGGAAACCTTTGCTGCTTGGTGCCATTCCCTTGCTGGAAGCCGAGGTGCTGCTTCTTCGGAAGCCTTCTCCCCCAGCCACAACCTCTCTCTCAGGCTTGGAGCCTCTTTCTGGGCAGGGCCAAGCCCAGCTGCTTCAGAAACTCGGACGTTGTGATTTGTCGTTATTTGCTTAGAAGATCAAGCGGTCTGTATACGTTTGCCCGTAGTCTACAGAGAGAGAGAAAGAGAGAGAGAGAGAGAGAGAGAGAGAGAGAGAGAGAGAGAGAGAGAGAGAGAGAGAGAGAGAGAGAATTCCTCTGGATTCCCGAGGGAAAAAAATATTCTTTGTATCTGTGACTGTCCTTTAAGCCTCCTCCTCCCACCCTTTCTCCCTACTTCTTTCAGTCTGTCTGCCTGTCTATGTATCTATCCATGTATTTGTCCGTACCAAGAAACATTCCTAGAAGCTACATATTTGCAAGAGCCGGGAAGAAACTAGAGGATGCTTAAATTTCCACAGTGACACGAATTCTGACAGCCCAGGGGAAAACACACTCACACACACTCACACATACACACAACAATCAAAATCCACCTGTCACAGCGACAGAGGCTCGCGGGCGGGAGAGAGGCACCCAAGAGAAGAGAGAGCCACAGGCCGACTTGATCAGAGCCAACAAACCCCTTCACTCCAGGACTGTCAGCATGAGCAAGCCGGCGGGATCAACAAGTGGGTACAATCGCCGGCCAGGTTCTTAGCGGATTCCCCAATCCTGGAAGACCTGGGGGTGGGAAGTGGGGGAGTGGGCGGCTAAGGTTGGGGAATCTTAGTATCCTCCCGAGTCCCTAGGAAGCACCAACTCCCCTTCTCAAAAAATTTGCTTCTTGTTGAGTCTCAGTGTTTTTGATCTAGTTCTTTGCAGAGGGATCCTGAGTCTTTTACAAAGAGAACTATTTTTGTTCCTTTAGTGCTTATTATTTTGGTGACTGGGTTTTACAGCTTGTTTGCAAGACAGCCGAACGCGCATCGGATCTGTCGGTACGAATTGGGAACCCCCCCCACTCTGCAGATACCACTGTGGGGCGGAGAGGAGGGCAAGTAATCGGGGAGGGGGAAGGGCGGAGGGGGTGGAGAGCTAGGAGAGGGGGGATGCCGAAACTCCTTGTTTTACCTCTAACAACGAATTTGTGCAATTCCCCTCCGCTGCGCAGTCCAACAAGAGACAGTTCCAAACTCTGGACACTGAGCCCCTGAGAATCTCTTAAGCAGCTGCGGAAAGCGGATTTAAAATTCAATGCCTTGCACACCATTTCTAGTTCCTCCAAATAATCCTGCAAAGAGGGAAGCAGAAACGACTGAAAAGTCACACTCTCCTTAATCCTAAATCCGTGTACCTCATAACTGGGGAATTTAAAGTATGGCAAAGAGGGGCTCAAATCTATAATCCCAAAGGGAACTTTTGACGGAGGCGAAATGGGCCTGGGGCTAATTATGGTATGTGTGGCGTACACAGGCATTTAATAGGGAGTTTGTGTGTGCCCAATTCGTCTATCCCGATACAATGTGAGGCATCTCCTTTGACAATGGCTTTTTTTTCCTTCAAACTTCATTTGCTGTTCAATATTAAGCTTTACATTCCAACTGGGCTGCTGTCTTGTAACTTCTCGTGGAAACCGAGCTACACTATGTTCTGTACGTGTGTATGTGGTGAGGACTATATACGCACACCCGCTTTGGTATGTTTTTACTTCGTCCTTCTTACTATTTTCCTCCATCCACCTTTGGGTCTTATCCGAGGTTTGCTGGAGGAGTGCAGGTACTTTGGAATCTGCAAAGTGGCCGTTGCAGCCCTCTGGTCTCACCACTTCCTCCTGGAGGTTTTGTTGTTCTTGTTGATGTAGTTGTTTTCTTCTGTTTTATTTAGTTTTAGGCTTCCCACTCCCCTTCGCCACGATCTGTGTGTGACGGGGGAGGCGTAAGTTGTAGGCCAAAGGCGATCCGGAGAACTCCCTGGTGATTGGCAGAAAGTCCCATGCAGGTGGGAGTTTATTTCCCCCCAAAGAACTGGGTTGGGTTTTTGTTTTGTAGAGGGCAGAGGAGCACTCTGAGCATGTGGTGTTTGGGTTATTAATTTTTTTTAAAGAAGTAGACATTATGAAAAAAAAGAGAACCGTTTGGAGAGGAAAGAAGAAAGGAAGGAAAGAAGGAAAGGAAAGAAAGAAGGAAAGTAGGAGCTTTATTGATGAGGAAGTGAGGAACCGGAGTCGGAGGTAATGCAAAAACTCCTTGTTCTGCCTCTTGGAAACAATACATAGCGGTAGAAAACACGCCTTTCTGGGGACCTCGTTTCCAGTCACTTATACAAGTAATTCGGGGTTGATTTTTGTCCCTCGGTGGTGGTGGTGGGTTGCTTCCTGAGATTTCTTCTCACGAAAGAAGCAGAAAGTAACTCTTCTTACCCTCCTTGTGGTCACTTTGGCTGAACCTAGAGCATCTGAGGACAGTGGAGCCAAACGCGTTCAACTCGCTCTCTCCGGTCGTAAGAAGGAAACCAAAGTACCCTTTCACTCCGGCTTGACAAGACGTTTGGCTGCTTGCTCTAAGACCGGGTTTATTCTGCGTCGGAAGCTGCTGGGCTCAGTCAGTTGAAAAAGAAGATAAAAACAATGAAGGCTGATTTTTCCTGAGCCCCGCGCTAGGAGCGGCGATGCTCGGGAGGGGGGGGGCGGGGTTAAGGGAAAGCGAAAAAAGGAACTTCAGGTTTTCGGGAGAAGACACAAAGTGCAAATCTTTTAAACTTTCTCTGAGCTTCTAATGTTTAGTTCTTCTAAGCTGGTTTGTGAGAGGACGTCTGAGGTCAGGTCCAGAAGCCCAGGAGTAATGGACAGAGGTCACAAACTCTCTCGGCTCTTTACTCCGTTGCGTGTACCCTATCTGCTCAGCCAAACAAAACCCAGAGTTCTCCCTTCGTTCTCCGAGAGTGATTAGAGCCCATGTAGAGCCCCGATCCCTGCCTTTCTGAGTTCTCTTTCTTTCCCTCAATCACCCAGCACTGAAGCTTCCCTCTTAAAAATATAGGCCTTGAAACAGTATGTGTCCGAGCGCAGCCAGAACTGAGCGCGGGTTCAAGGGGCTAAATGGGGCTCAGGGTGCCGGTGGAGTAGGGCTAGACGCGTCGCTTGGGGAGGGGGCGGGAATAGGGGCAGAGGGGACACGCCCGGCCTGCAGACCTCGCCTCGCTTGGCTTCCCTCGGTTGGAGGGTAGAGCTGTGTCAAATGTGATCCCTGCCTGGGTGGTAACAAGACCCCAGCCAGTCACCCCTCCAGCCCAGACTAACTTCTTTCAACAGCCTCTGATGGTAATTACAGTAATCGAAGCTGCCATATATCTTTAAGCAATTATAACACACAAAAAGCCCGAGGGGACCCCCTGGCGAGGGATGTTAAGAACGGTTTCCCGGCCCCAATAAAATCCCACTTTCCTCACGTTGTACCTTGGCTGGCCAAATCAGAGTAGCTTTACAACAGGACCAGCCGGTTATCTCATGACCCCATGTCACCGTAACGTGGCTTGGTAGGGTTGGGTTTTTTTTTTTGTTGTTGTTGTTGAGACTCTTTTTTTTTTAGCAGATTTGCTGGACCCAGGAATTTTTCTCATCCACTCTTGTCCCTCAGCATCCTCGCCTTCCCCTTTCCCAACCTCCTCCGCCTAGAGTAGTCTCTCTCCTAGGGCTGTTTATAATAAGCCAGAGGGCCCGGCATCTAGAGTTTGGGTGGGAGAAGGCCCTAGAAACTTAAGTCAGGCTGACCCATGAGGACATATTTGGCCTAGGAAGATAGAATCAGGATTGGACGTCGGGATGGGGGGGGATAGAGAGTCTGTCTCTCTTGGTTGAACCACTCCCCTCGCTCCCTCATCTCCACAACTGGAGGTCGCTGAAGAAGTTTGCTCTTGTCCAGGGACTGTCAATTTCTCCTGAAAGCTCGGTTAAGGAAAAACAACACGGATAACCACAGCAGCAATAAAAAAATAAAAAATTAAAAAAAAACAAGGTCGACCCGAAAAATTAGCAGCAGCATCCAAAGTGAAGCAGAAGAGCAGCAGAGACTGCAACAAGTCTTCCAAACTTGGAAGGACAGCCGGAGCAGCTGGCTTGGAAACCTGCTGCCTCTCATTTATTAAAGGCATTTGGAAGCTGCAAAGAGAGGATAAGGAAAGGACGTCTTCACACTTTTATTTCTAGTGACCACAACTCCAATTCGATTCAAAAAACAAATGTTTGGAAGAGTTCCGAGCTAGAAACTGTGTTTGGCCTTTGGGGTTACAAAGACAAAAAAATAAAAGACTGTCCTCCTCAAGGAGCTCCCTTCCTCTACTGAGAGGTTACAGAGTGTAAGCAAAGAAGTAAATAAATATAGGACGTGTAGGAAGTAAAAGCAAAATTATTTCATGGAGTGAGAGAATGATCACAGATAGACACACAAGGAAATTAGAATTAGTCCAAAGGGAGGGAGTTTGGCAGGCAGAGTCCTTCCCTTAGAGGCAATGTCAAGTTCTCTGATTTCTCCAAACTCAGTGAGTGGCCTGGGAGCTCGTCCTGCAGAGAGGGCCCGATGCCCAGGACGCCAGAGCCGGGCAACAACGAGTTTTCTTGGCTGTGATGACCCGCCACATGGAGAGAGGGGAGATGGCACTGTTGCCTGTACATTCTCACTGTCTTCCCTCCACCCACCCTTCAGTACCGCCCCCACCCCCCAACTTCTCTCCGGCTTTGTATGAGCCTGTGGGCGCGGAAAATGTCTCAGTTAATGTGGAGATGGAGAGGAGACTGGAGTTGGAGGGGGGGGGTGTGGCGCTCGGTGGAAGAGAGAGAATTGAGTGCTTTCCCCTTTTGGCATTGTGTGATATCCGAATTCCCATGCTACCCTTTTTGACGGGTCACTGGTGACTCTATAGGCAGGTGGTAAGAAGGGTTTGTAATTACACAGTCCCAGGAACCATTCCTTGTCGCTCCCCCTCCCCCTTCTCCTCTCCTCGCATTTCGACCCACGACCTCCTACCTGCACCAGTCTCTCGGCCACCACTGACCTTGCACCCTTGGCGGGGAAAGCTGGCGTGGACGTTCCCAAAGTGGTTTGGAATGGAAAAGTTTACCCTACTCCAACGACTACACACACACACACACACACACACACACACACACACGCACTCACACGCATACACCGCTCGCCTTTCTACTTGCCCTCCCCCCTCCGCTTTTCTTTTTCCCCCCTTCCCCCAGTCCCCAACTTAATCTCCAGTCCTCTAGCTATGTTGTATATAGCAGCTGTCTAGTTTCATTTAGGGAAGAAGCTGGAGGGTTGTACTGATTGGGAGCAGTCAAATGGGTTTCAATGAGAAAATCATTAAGTTAGCAGTTTATCTAATGTCCTCATTGTCTTCGAGAAGGGAGCCTTTCTGAGCCTTTGATATAAGTCCCTGTGGACTCCATGGATCGGGGAACTGGATTGTGCCCCACCCCCGGCCGCCGGGGCTCTATTTTGCGCCTCACCCCCTCCCCAGCCCGCTTCGGGGGCTCGGAGGTTTGTAATGAGAAAGTAACTAATGGAGACTGGAAAGGAGAGGCTGGGAGAGAAGTAGAATCAGGTTGTGGTGTGTATGTGTGGGTGGGTGTGTGTGGTGGGTGTGTGAGTGTGTGTGAAGTCTGTGCCAGAAGGGTGCCGAGTACGGAGAACAGGAGTGAAATGATTTTTCAATCAAATACCAGTTGTTTTTTTTCCTCCCCAAGCCTGGGGACAGGCAGAGCCAAAGACTGTGTCTACTTTAAAGAAACGGTCAACTGAGGAACTGAGGCTTGGAAAAAAGGGAAAGGTACTTCAGACAAGTTGGCATGGAAAGGGGTGGGGGGAGAGATTCTTTTCAGACCCCCAGTCTGGTAATTAATATTATTAAGCAAGCATTTATTAAACTACTTTGCTAAGCTTCCTGGGAAGGGGAAGAGAGGGGAAATTATTTCTAAGATTCACAAAAAGTAAGGTGAAAGTTTTGCAACTATGTGGTATTATTGTTATTACTTCTACTATTGACTATAACAATAATAAAAACAATGGGTCTCAGAGCTGGGCCCCAGTCTCCATCGAGGGTTCCCAGAGTGTTTCTTGTTCTTGTCAGTTTTTAAATTTCAAGTTTGTCGCGTCTCTCTATCACTAACAGCTTCTCGGGCTCAATGGAGGAGCCCAGGCAGGCAGACCAAACTTTTTGTCAGAGCAGAAAGGTGAAGGACGTTTTTGCTGTTCCCTCTACTGCTGCTGAAGCTGCCGCCGCCTAGCCCGGGGCTTCAGGGCCTTTTTATTCCGAAATGGGCCTCGGCGATTGTAGAGGATCCAAATAAATGTAGCGGTGCATGAATAATGGTCATTGTAGGAAACTGATACTTGCTCAAGGGAGGGTGGAGGGGAAAGGTTGGCTATAAAATAACTTCATTATTTGCGTTTACCACGGCTCCAGTGCTAATCCCTTCTCAGGTCAGATTGCTTAGCTTTCTCTCTCTCTCTCTCTCTCTCTCTCTCTCTCTCTCTCTCTCTCTCTCTCTCTCTCTCCTCTCTCTCTCTCTCTCTCTCTCCCCCTCCCTTCCTCCCTCTCTCTCTGTCTCCCCACTCGCTTCTCTTTCTCTTCTCCCCCTTCTTTCGATTTTCCTTCCCTTCTGATTTCAGGTCGCATTTTAGACATCCCCTGTAAAGTGTGTGGGGACCGCAGCTCTGGAAAGCACTATGGGGTATATGCCTGTGATGGATGCTCGGGGTTTTTCAAACGGAGTATCAGGAGGAATCGAACATACGTCTGCAAATCTGGAAACCAGGTACTAGTCACTTCGCCCCTTCCTTCCCAGATATCACTCCCTCCTCCTACTCAGAGTCTGTCCTGCCACATACAATTCTTCTATTTGGGATCTTTTCTGTACTTTTTTCTACCTTTCATCTCCTCCTCCGGGTCTTCACCGGCGTCAAGCCTCCTCGTGATGAACATGCGTAAAAGCAAAGTGAGGGAAGACGGGCATGGGAGGAGAAATAAACTTGTTTTCAATAAGAAAGAAAGGAACATGGAGGTTACAGTGTTTTTGACCTGGAGAAATGATTTTGATAAGTGGTAAGACACTGGCAAAAGTGCTTGGAAAGTAGATCACAGTTTCGAACCCAGAACAGGCTTTTAGTTTCTTAAAATCAAACAAGAAGAAGAAAGTGCTCTGATTTCGGCCTGTCCCCATAATCTTGGGACATATACTTTCCCGGGAGCTCGTCTTCATTCTCAATTATATGCATCCACCCTTACACAAATCTGGTGCTGTAGAAGTGCCCTGGTGCCTTAGGGAAATTCTGGAGAGCTTTTCTCTCCCTCTAAACTCTGGACTCAGCCAGAAGAAAGGAGAAACCTTTAGAGGAATCTATCCTAATGGTTCCAATCAGAAAAGGTAGGACCATTCAAAATTCAAGGAGTCAAGTTGCATTTGTAAATATAGTTTTAGTGGAACCAAACTCTAGGAACACCTGCACAGAATATTAGGGCAAGATGAATGATAAGGAAGGTGGGATCAAAGCAACCTCCTCCAACCCCGAGACCCAGAGCAGGTTTTCCTCTTCCCATCTTGTGCATCATAATCTGGGCCAGTGTCACCTTGCACAGATCAAATTAGCAAAGAACTGGCTTAAGAAAGGCTTTTGGAGGCTTAGGGAAATTGTACCTGGCATGTTCCTGCAGAATTCAGCAATCACCAATAGGACTAACTGAATTCTGGCATAGGAAGTGGGGGAGACCAACCAAGAGCCCAAGCCAGGGCAATATGAGAATTTCAGAAAAACCTCCTGAAAGGAAAAGCAGATGCTTCTATCAATAGAAAAGAGATGCCCAGTTTTTTAATAGGCCTAGCTTTTCCTTTTCATATCAGCCTTATGGTCACAGAATCTTCCCTCTCATCAGTCATTAAATCATAAATGTTCATTTCAGTGAATATAGAGCCCTAGCTAAATGCTTATGGTGTTAATATGGCAAGAAATACCTAGAAACCTTCATCATAGAACTGAGGGAATGATCAAAACTACTGGGGTAGTTGCTGCTTTCAGAATTATGGACATCCACTATATCTAAATATATGCATATGTGCATACACACATAAAAATATATGCATATAGACACAAACACAGATACTATCCCATTCATTGTTATTAAATTGTTCTGATTTCTGTCTTGGGCTACATATACACTTATGGACTAATTTGATAGAATTACATTTTTAAAGATCATGTGAATACAGCAAAACTTGAGGGAAGGGTCTATACCCCCAAATAATTTAGTTTGATTAAATGTTTCATTTTGTGATTGGTTGTTTTGCCACTTCTTTGGTAAATCAGAGCTAAGTACCTAATATATACTTGGGTATCTCCATACAAGGGCAATTAGTAGCTCTGTGGATAAAGTGCTGGGCCTGGAGTCAGGAAGACCTGAGTTCAAATCTGAGTTTAGATACTTACTAGCAGTGTTACCCTGGGCAAGTCACTTGACACTGTTTGCTTCAGTTTCCTAATTTGTAAAATGAATTAGAGAAGGAAATGGCAAGCCATTCCAGTATCTTTGCTAAGAAAACCCCAAATGGGGTCACAAAGACTTGAACAGGACTGAATAACAAAAATTTCCATACATTTATGCTCCTTGGGGAGGATTATTACAATCATAAGATTGGAATAGTGTCATAGGATCGTAAGATCACAGTTTTAGGTATGGAACAGACCTTTCAAGTTATCTGGTCCAACACCTCTCACATAAAACAGTTAAGGAAATTGAGCTCTATTTGAGATTAATTGACTTGTCCAAGGTTACATATAGTAAGTGGCTAACCCAGATCTTTTGACTCCACATCAGCTTCACCATGCTGTCTTTTCCACTTGATTTTATTTATTGAAATACAGCATGCCACATGCAACAAACAGAATTGGGGGATTCAAAATATAGGGAATGTTCTTTTAAACACCGGGAAAGTAGCCAACTCAAAACATATTGATGACACTAGCATTTGTAAATGAGCAACAATGGGCCTTAGCTTGCCTGCTCTTTCCCCACTTTGCAAGGCAGAATACATAAATTGATCTTTGTCAGATGCCTTTGTCCCAGGCTTTTGATAGTGCTATACGTTTAATCTGATTAGAAGATGAGCATAAACACTAATGGAAGCCTTTAGTTGGAGTTAAAATATTTGTCAGAAGAGTGAGATGACACTTAATTAAATGTTAACAAACTTTTTAAAAAAATTAGGAATCTCTTTTGGGAAAAAAATTGCTTTTGGGGGATCAGGGAATGTGTACTGTAGAATTGCCCCAGGAACATCTCCCCCCAAAAATCATTTTTCATTTTACTCAGTTTAGAACTAGAACTTCAATAATTAGAAATTACCATGAACCCTTTACTCCCTTTTTAAAGACTTCAATGGGAGCTTCTCTTTATCCACCTACACAATAAATGTGTGGATACTACACTGATGTAACTGTATATCCTAGGATAGCACCCCTTTCTACCCAAAAAGAATATTCAGAAGAAGGACAGATCTGAACATTTAAGTCCAAGTTTCCTTTATATGGATTTATCTGAACTTATAAAGCAACTTTTTTAAAGTAACTTTCATTTAAAGTGCATCTTTATTCCATTTTTTTTCTATCACTCATGTAAAAGTACAAACATGCCCTTAGTGGATAAAGGGCTGATCATGGAATCAGAAAAATCCAGATTCAAGTCCTGTCCCTGTCGAATACTAGCTATGTGACTTAACCTCTCCAATTCTCTAAGATTCTGTTACAGATGAATTGCCATTAGTAGAGGGAGTTTTCACACCTCCCTCTACTAATTTTCCTACGCTGATAACATCTTAGGTCAAGATCAAAAATAAAATAAACACAGAGCACTTTTTCAACTTGTTTCTCTCCATGTGTTTGTGAATAAATATGTAATTATATAGATATGCACATGTAAATATATACTTAAGTATACACACCTATCCTACTATATATGTATATGTACATAGGTATGCATATATATTATTTAATGATCACAAAGGCTTTGTAGTAAACACCATTTTTAAATAAATAAGAAATTGGCAAGTTTGATCTCCCTTCTTAAAGACCTCATTCCCCAGAATATTGCCTGAATTAAATTATTCCTTTCTCACATTTATTTCTAATTTTCAAATCTAAGAAGTTTGAACTAACTTTTAAAAGTTAGTTTACTGATCTCAATACATACTGTTACTTCCTTCCAGAAATTATACCGTATGCTGTAGTTTTGGGTTTTGTTCGTGCCTTTCAATTCTTCCCTTTTCACCCCTCTTTGTGGGTTTCCTTGTCCCCAGGTTTCTTTAACCTTAAATTTGCCCCTTTCATCTACCACTTTTGTCCCCACATCAATGTGTATTTTCATAACTCTAGATTGAGTCAAATCTTCAGGAAAGCATTCAAAATGTCCCAACAAAGAATCTATTTAGGAAAGCAAGGAAAGACTGAACCCATAGGGAGTCCAGACCAGGGAAGTAGAACCTGAAAAGAAAACCTGACTAGACAAAGTGGAGTAAGAGATAGAAGGAGAGAATGGGGAGAGAGAGACAGAGACAGAGACAGAGACAGAGAGACAGAGAAAAAGCTGTAGCTCAGAGATCTACCCCTACCTGGCCCAGTGATAGAAGCCTTCTCACTAAGGGTGGGGCCGGGAAGAGGCAGGGAGAAAGAAAAGAAGCCCTCAAGGTAGGCTGCTGTCTTTGGTGCTGAAAAGGCCTCACCAACCTCTTTGTCAGAAGTTCTCTATTTGAAAATTCCTTTCAAAACTTAGTAGTCTCAGCTTGGCTCAAACTCTAGGAAAATCAACAACTCAGTATTTTTATTTCTACTCTTCACCTCTTCCTCTCCCTCTGGCATTTGGCCATCTACCCCAGGATTCTGTACTTTTCTGACTGAGGCAACCAGTAATCAAAACACTCAGCTGATTTTTTCAAGTTCGTAGAAGCAAACTCAGATCAGGAACCCAGCTATTTATTGCTTCTCTTCTCTAAAACAACCAAAAGGAGTTGTCCCAAGTTGGGGAAACCCAATATGGACTTTAGCATTCAGGATATAAGACCTCTCCTTTCTTGGGGACTCAGAGGCAAAAGCAACAAAGTTAAAGGTGAAGAAAATCAAACAAATCGGACAGCATTTTGTCCTTCTGCTCTTTTCCAACCTTTTCTTATGTGTTGATTTATTTATTTTCCTTGAATCTGTCCTGATTTGTCCTCCTTCTGTGAATAAAAAGCACCTTTGCCTCTCTCCCTTTGCCTGTAGACTCTGATTCTCCCTTTCTGTTTCAGGGAGGCTGCCCAGTGGATAAGACGCACAGAAACCAATGCAGGGCTTGTCGCTTGAAGAAGTGTTTGGAAGTCAACATGAACAAAGATGGTAATCAGCACATTCCTTTATTCTTCTAATGTTGATTGAGTAGTAAGTAAATTATATGTACAGAAAATACATTGCATTCATATGCATGTAAATCATCTTCCCCAAACACTTCTACCAGATGCCTGGGAAGTTGTCCCAGTGTTTCAGCCAAAATCTCTCCCTTCGACCCTGATCAGTGCCAGTCCACTTAGAGTTCCCCCTCGTAGGGGGAACCACTCTGGTAGGAGGCAGTGTGGTCCATGAAATCATAAGATCTACCTCTGTGTGCTTATTATTGCTGTCACCCTGGAAAGGTCATCTAAGCTCTCAGAACCTCAATTTCTACATCTGTAAAATGTGGAAGTTGGCCTAGAGTTGGAAGGAATCCTAGAAATCTCTTCCAGCTCCATCATTCTGTGAACTATGGGACCTGACTCCCACTCTCACGAAGAGAGTCTGGGATCACCACCACCATTCCTGAAAGGAATGGGGTGGGGAGAGACTGCTTCTAAAACTCTGGTTGGGCATTTCCCTCTATCCCTGTGGGAAGGAATAACAAGTGATCTCGGCAATATTTCCAGCCTCGTGTCCTAATCCCCCTTCTCGCCTCTTTCCGGAGTCACTTCTCTTTGCCTCCCTTTTGTGGCCAGCCTTTAAGCCTATTAGACATCCCTGGGATCTTGGCGTCCCATTACTCCTCATCCTGAGGAGAGAGAATGGAATTCATGAAACAAGTTTTCTGAAGATGAGAATACGTCAAAAGAGAAGAAAACCCTCTTTAGCAAATCAACAAAGGCACGCTGTCCAAGGCTGCTGCTCAGAGATCCCATAAGAGACATTTCTGCATCCTCAACACTGATGAAGAAGAAAGAATGGCTCTGGGAGGCAGAGGAGCATATCCTATTGGTTCCTCTCTCTCCGTGCTTCCGAGGGGCACTAGCCCCCTTTGTAGCACGGGGAGAAGGGTCCAGGGACTGGGACTCTGCAGGGGGCTGGGAGAGTATATATACTGCAGTTCCGTACAGTTTGGGTAATGCTCGGCTCGAGGCCGCTGCTGCCCAGGCTGAGGTATTAGTGTTGGGGACCAGGGTCGAGGTTGGGAAGGATTTGGCCTTCGGGACCAGGACCAGGGACCTCAATCCCGCAGCGTCTAGCTGCCAGCTCAGGAAGCTCTCTCTCTCTCTGTAGAGGAAAAAAGCAGGAGCGAAAAAACCTGTTGAACTTCTGTATTGACAAGTTGTCAAGCTCCGCGGGCGGGAGATTGCCCCTGAATTAATTTGTTTGTTTAAACTGTTTGCGGTAATTGTCAGATCTCTCTCCTGCTGCTTGCCTGCCTGCCTGCCTCCCTTCCCGCACACTCTTCCGAGGCTAGCTCTCCTCTTTCCCATCACATTTTCCCCACTCCAGTCCCCAGGCCGCTGGCACCTTTCCCTCTCGAAGCGTTGAAGGCAGAAGGTCATTTTCTCCCAGGGGCTCCCCATTGGTACTGGCTCAGAATTCTATAGGGTGCAGATGCTGCCGGTGGGAGCCAGGGCTGCTCTTTGAACTAGGCCTGGGGGCGACAAGGCCTAAAATTGTTGCCTGATAAAAGGCAAGGCACTTATCAGAACTCTGCAGTGAGCCCTCCTCTCTCTCTGTCCCTTTTTCGGATCAGATCCAGGCGACAAAGACACCCGGGTCCAATCTTACTTGCACGTGTCTTCAGTTTCCAAAAAAAAAAAAGTCTCCAGGTACTAAAGGTATCCACTCCCTCTCCCCGAGTCCCTGGACCAATTCTGGGGCTCGGAACCGACGATGGTCCTGGGTCTTTCCAGATGATCCAGTGGAGAAACGAGAAGCGAGATGATCCAGGTCTCTAAGGGCTCACACCGAGTATTAAATTCATGGAAAAGTAAGATCAGAGATTTATGGGATTTAGCAATTTAGATACAATCTGGTCCAACTGCCTCATTTTGCGGATGAGGAAACTAAGGCCGGAAATTGTGAAACCACTTTTCCAAGGACACGCAGCTTGTTAGTGATGGAGACAGGATTCAGAACCGCATCTTCTGATTTCAAACCCAGAGTGAGGCTGATGGGCTGAGGCTTGAGTCCTTGAGTTACCAAACTTGTTAGAACCAAGCTCAGCCTTGTCGCTGTGTCTGTCCTTGCAGCTGTACAGCATGAGCGAGGGCCCAGGACCTCTACTATCCGAAAGCAGGTTGCCCTGTATTTCCGCGGCCACAAGGAAGAGAACGGGGCAGCCCCTCACTTCCCTTCCGCAGCCCTGCCTGCCCCGGCTTTCTTCACTGCAGTCACGCAATTGGAGCAACATAACCTGGAGCTGGCGGCCGTGTCCGGCACCCCGGAGAGACAAACATTGGTGGGGCTGGCCCAGCCCACGCCCAAGGTCAGTGGCCCCACTCCAACAGAGAAAAAATAGGAGGGATCAGAGGGCTGAGTGTCAAAAGTTCGCTGTCTCTCAACTGTTGGTGACAAGTAGATTGACAAAGAAAATAAGGATATGTGTTTTTCTTTTCCCCTTGGATTTAGAAGGGAGAAATACTCCCTGAAATCGGAGTATTCATCTTAAGACTTCTCTCCCCCTAGCTAAGTTCCGGGGGGAGTGGGGGGAGGGGAGACCGGCTCTCTTTGCTATCAATAATACCCCATCCCTGTTAAAACTTGGATTTCCCTGTAGAACAGTTGAACAGCCGCGTGCCTTACGGGAAAATGACCTCCAAATTGGAGTTCAATAGTCATTGATGTAGGACCTCAAAATTCAATCCGATTTAATTCAAGAAGTCATTGAGTGTGTAAGGTACTGTCCAAGGTGCTACTACTAAGAGGACAATAGTCAAAACAATCCTACCTCCAAGGAGTTTACAATATGCTGGGATTAGATCAGTTGTTAACGTTTTATCCTTTAAATCTAACATTAGGCCTAGAGGCTGAAAGGGAGCTGCTCATTAGTTAGTGTGAAAATGTTAAGTTCTACAGCACCATTAAAGAGGGAAAATCCACAAATGCAAACCCATTTGGATTGCTTTGGCTCCTCTGACACCCTTCAGTCACTTCCAAACTGCTTTACCATCTACAGGGTTCATTTCCAACCCGTAAGGGGTTTGTGATGTCCCAGAAAAGGCTAAGATAGTTACCTCAGGATTTCTCTGAAAGGAGATCCAACAACTGCATGGAGTCCTATGCTGTCAGAGTTCACACACACATACACACACACAGCCTCAGAAAATCAAAACACCTGTGCACCCATACACGAACACATGCATACACAATATTTAATGTTTTTTTCCTTACCCCTTGATGTGTATAATAAGCATGGGAAAGTGCTGCTATGAATATGTTGTCAGTTGTGAATGAGAATGCTCTATGAATGATTAAAATGTCTAATTGAAATATTTCCATAATATACTAATCCTTTCTAAAAATATTCATATGCATATTTGTGTTTTGGATGCCTATTAATTTATACTTTTTCATGTCTATTTTTATTTACACAAATACAAGCTGCTCTTGTCTAAATTGGGAGCCAGGCCTGCCACTTGGCTCAGCCTTGTGTAAATTTGCTGGTGAGGATAGAGAAAGACTGAGAAACTCATAGACTATTCACTCTGGAAGAGACCTCAGCAATCATTTAGGCCAACATTCTCATTTTGCAAATGAGAAGACTAACTCTCAGAGAAGGGAAGTGACTCAACCAAGGTCCACCTCTCCAAAGTGAATACAACCTTCCAAATAAGAGCTTAGAAATGAGGCCTCTCCCAAGGTGATCCAAAAAGTTAATGCAGGGTATGGCTTCTGGTGGAGGGTTACAACTGAGAACATATAGTTCTCAAAATATATGCAGGTATTTTAATTATACAAAATATAAGTGTTTCCTTTTTCCTTAGTGTATCCTTTTCCTAGGAATTCTTGGTTCTTATTCAAAATAACAAAAGGTTGATTTCTTTTTAAAATGCTGTGGTTTTCTCACTGTGGCCCACTTAATCCAGGCTTCCTTCTTTCTTCTCCCCTTCCAGTATCCCCATGAGGTTAATGGAGCCCCCATGTATCTCTATGAAGTGGCCACTGAGTCTGTATGTGAATCAGCAGCCAGACTCCTTTTCATGAGCATTAAATGGGCCAAGAGTGTTCCAGCCTTCTCCACTCTGTCCTTGCAAGATCAGGTAAGTTTGAGTGTGCTTTGAGATCCTTGGACAATAAGGATTATAGGAGAGAAAACACAAGAAAGAATAAGAGTTACTAATCCCAGATTCACAAAACTGAAAGGGATCTGGGAATATCATCTGTAACAACTCCTTGCTATCATTCAGGTGAATATCTCAGCCTGAAACCTTAGCTGGCTAAACAACCAGTGATAACAAAGAGTTTTGTGATGTCCAAAAACATAACCATGAAGTCAACTCAACAAACATTTATTAAGCATTTAGTATGTGCAAGGTGAGATGTCCCATGACATAAGACTGACCTTGGATTCAGGGAGAACTGGGTTCAGATCCTGCCTCTGAAATATACTAGTTTGATCATGAGTCATTCAGTTTACTTCTTAGGTTCCCAGCAACTCTTAGAGACTATAAGTTACAGATGAATTACTGAACTGCATCCATGTATACATCCATACACCAATGAAATTAAAAATCCAGACTCAAAAAAATGTACATGGCCTTGTGCTAGGTCCTGATGATACCCAGATACACCAAGGAGATTATTAAGATAAAGCTCATTTGGGAACCTCAATAAATTGGAAGAAAAAAGGCTTCCTTTTGAGAGGTTGCCCTTTCTCCTCGTATTTCCACCAGTTAGGATGTATCTTTACTTCAGGAAAGTGGAATGAAGCTTATTAAGGAAAAAATGTGTAAGAAAATACACTTTTTTTCTTGCAAGTGGAATTTTAAAATATTGCCACGTATATTTTAAAATTGTTGAAACCTTTGTGGAAGTTACGAAAGGGAGAAATAAGATGTGTGACTGAAAAAAAAATGAAATACTTCCATTCCTCACCTGAAGAATGTCTCATTGCATTATGGTCATACTTTTGTATTCTCTGAAGGTGATATATAGAGTTTGGGTCACTAAACTATATGGAGTTAAACAGCAAATAGGAACCCAGAGTGTATTATAAACCTCCATAGAGACAAGAGTTCATTTAATTCTTAAAGTTTTTTTTTAATAAATCCCTAAAAACAAACATGTCTCACAATCGTATGGTCACAAAAAGACTTTCAAAAGGCTAAGTAATATTGTACCTAAAATTTCATCATGCTGAGGAAGAAAATAATTTTTGTTCATCTTATTTAAAATGACTCCTTCTAGAATTATTTTGTGAATGACCACAAAGAAAATGCAGTCTGGATTGCTTTCTGAAGAATTGGCTGTGGTAAATGTATTCAGAGGGACTAGTGGCAAGGTCTACCAAAAATTATTAAGTGGTTATACAAGCAAAAGATACGAATCCTTTAAAAAAATAATAATAATAATAATAATTTAAAGATTTGAATCTTGTTTTGCCTAATTAGGTTGTACTAAATCTCCTAAATATAAAATGCATTTCCTTACCGACTCACATGCTAACACATTCAAAACATTTACTATTTCTGCATAAGGTCTATTTGCATCACACATGAAGAATAGCCAAAATTGGGTGATTTTCCCCCAAAATTTTTCAATTTGTTTTCTTGTACTTTATGTTATAAATTTGACAAAGCATTGATTTTTAAAGATTAGAACTAGGTATGAGTCATTAGGAGTATTTTGATAAATATTTAATGAACCAGTTCTTGAGACTAACTTATTTTTGAAAAGGCTTTCCACTTAAAATGGGCTACTTCTCATTTTGGAAGACAGAAATCATTTTAAAATGTTCATCAGCTGTCCTTACTCATTTACCTGACATTAGATACATTTCCAAAATCCTCATCTTTATGCCATTTTTAAACTCTTCCAAATAAATGTCTAGAGGCTGTTGGAAGCCAAACATAAAACTGGTTCTCTTTTCAGTCTTCAGAAGAAAACCCTACAATAACAAGTCAAAGTGGGAAAGAGAATTGAAGATGATAATTTGAAGACAACCAAATTTTGCTTTCAAGTTATCCATATCACATCACATACAAATTAATGCAATCTGTCCCTTTATTCTTATCTGAGAAATCAGGCAACCAACAAGGAGTTAAATGTGGAAACCCTGATTAACTTAATTGTATCACTATTTTTCCTTTCCTAATGCTTGTCTTTGATAAGTACTGTGGCTATTATCCCTCACATACATACTGTTCCTTGATCTTCTAGTTCTTCAGTTCTTCTTTGAGAATAAGAGTCATTCAGAGATTCAGTAAGCCAGTCAGTAATCCTTGAGAATTTCAGCGTTAATATTCCAGAGGGGTCACTTTAGATGGCATTCCAGTATTCAACAGTTTGGCATTTCATAGAGCACTAACCTCATGAGCAAGTCCTAAGTTTTGCTGGAATAAAAAGACAAGAAAGGAAAAGCAGACCTTTTTCTAGGAGAAGTAAACTTTGGGAAAATAGGCTGTGAAGTACATATTACTTTATCTATAGGCACCTTGTGAAAAAGATAAAAGAAAAAGCTAAAATATTCAGGAGAAATTACCAAGACAGGCATTTAAAACAGGTTTTTTTTAAATAATGGAAATTTACATATTGAGATTGCTTATAAATTTATAAATTATACACTATATTCTATTATACATCTATTGTATGACAGCTGATGCTTTTGGAAGATGCTTGGAGAGAACTGTTTGTTCTAGGAATAGCACAATGGGCCATTCCAGTTGATGCTAACACTCTACTGGCTGTATCTGGTAAGAACTGCACAATTTAATGACTTTGTTGTAGAAATTACCATAAAAATACATTACTGAAAAAAGAACAACATGTAAAGAATAACAAATTCCTGCTGAACAATAGAGTATACCTGTCATTTATAAATCTATATTTAAATGCAAATAATGTTGTTTTGTTGTATTCATGACTGCTTGCATTGTTATTTAAATGCAAATTACTGTGTTTGTTATCGTCCCAGAGAAGATTTTATATTAACTTCCATACAATATAGTCAGTCTACATGGAATCAGAGATCTCAGAGTCACAATTGAATAGATATTTATATGCAGAATTTTGTCAAAAATCAATATGAAATCATGAAAATGCCCTAATATTAGGACATTAATTTCACATTCCAATTCTAGGCATGAATGGTGAAAATACAGATTCCCAGAAGCTGAGTAAGATCATCTCTGAAATCCAGGCTTTGCAGGAGGTAGTGGCCAGATTCAGACAACTTCGGCTGGACGCAACTGAATTTGCCTGTCTCAAATGCATTGTCACTTTTAAAGCTGGTAAGCAGAATTGAACCCCTTCTTATTCTACTTCCTCTTCATTATCCCCTCCCCCTCCCTGCCCTTGACCCCCTTCATGATAACAGCCACTTCAGAGTCATAAAAAGCCTCATAAAATGGAGCTGATCTTTCGGACCCTTTGACTCCATTTTAGAGAGCCACGGTCTTCTTTCATGCTGGACCAGCTTTGCATTTCATCGCTGCTTTATACCGTTGCACCCACCTGGAGGTCAACTGACCGACTGGTTCCTGATCTCTTTTCTAGTACCTACACACAGTGGTTCTGAACTGAGAAGTTTCCGGAATGCCGCGGCCATTGCAGCACTTCAAGATGAAGCTCAGCTAACACTTAACAGTTATATCCACACCAGGTGAACTTTATTTGTTTAGAGTCTTCTTCTTTTTTTTTTTTAATAAGGCAATTGGGGTTAAGTGACTTGCCCAGAGTCACACAGCTAGTGAGTATTATGTGTCTGAAGCTGCATTTGAACTCAGGTCCTCTTGACTCCAAGGCCGGTGTTCTATTTGTTTAATAATTAAGAGTAACAATAACAGTAGCCATGGTGATAACCCTATTTTTCATGAGATATAGGTTACAAGGTGTTTCCTTCTTCCTCCCTCCCCCAACGTCATCTCATTTGCTTTGAGTACGTACCTAACAAGGATCATAAATTTTAGATTTGAAAGGACTTTAGAGATCACTTAATCAACCAATCAAAAAAGTATCTTAAGCACCTACACAGCTAGACCCAGTGATGGTCTGGTGATAGGAATACAAAGACAAAAATAAAATAGTGCCAGCTCTCAAGGAGCTTACATTCTAATGAAGGAGACAATATGTACAATTAGAAATATATGAAAAATATTTACAAATTGGGGGGGGGGAAGCACTGACTACTGGAAGGATTTATCAATTAGTCCACGTTCCTCAATTTAGACTCAGAGGAGGTGAAGTAACTGGCCTAAGGCCATACAAATAGGAAAGTGGCAGAGTTTTGAACCAAATCTGATTCTAAGTCCAGCATGCTTTCCACTGCACTACAGGAAATTACTTTTGTGAAGGAGACTCAAGCTACATGTGTGTGTGTATATGTCTCCCAAAAAAAAGCCAGTTCAAACATTTAGAATAATTAACCACTGAATACAATCAGTTCCAGTCAAAAGAGCACCAATAACAGGTTCGTTAGTCAAAATGGTGCAATAGATATTTGTGCTTTGACCCAGCCAGGGTGGAAAAGTCAAAAACGATGACCAAAGTCTTATAGTTGTGGACAGCGACCTCTTGAATGGGGTTAGATAATCCCAAAGAAATGGAGATGTCTTTATGGAGATATCAGCTATATGCCCACAGAAAAGATGGGCTTTCACACTGGTAACTCATTCATTTGGGGCTTCTTTAACCACCTGACTGTTAAGGCCTCTGTGATTGGCTTCATCTCTGATTTCAAAGGCAGCCAGAATGGATCTTCTTGATTGGCAGCCATGAATAGACATGGATAGCTTCACACTATTCCTGGCAATGAGAAGTGAATTACAGGGAAAGCTTGTTAGAAAACATAGTGGATTGGAGCATGGAACGTCTATGATATGGGATTTATTCTAGTTCCCAGGAACCAGTTTTACAATGACATCTCTACTTATTTGCAAAAAATAGAAGGCAGTGCTTTCTATCCTATGACTCTATGAGTTATTATTAGCTGCCAGCATTGTTTCAGGATATAACCCACCCTGCTAGAGTGAGAAACCCTATATTTCTCTACAACAGGGGTTCTTAACCTGGAGTCTGTGGTTTTTGTTTTTCAAAATTTTGATAACTGCTTTTCAATGTAATTGGTTTCCCTTAATCCTATGTATTTTCTTTATTGCATTTAACAACATTATGCTGAGAAGTCCGTAAATGTCACCAGTCCACCAAAGGAGTTTATGACACAAAAATGTTGAGGGTTCTTTTTCTATAATTTATGTAAATAGTATACTTGGCTTCTTTAGCCAATCAATCACCATCAGATATAAATAATTTTTTTCTACTTATGCATGACACCTTTCCGGTGTCAGAGAGATGGTGTTAAACAAAAAAACCCAAATATATACATCTATCTCAATCAATCAATAAACATTTCTTAAATGCCTGCTATGTGCCAGGCACTGTGCTAGGCTCTGGGGATACAAAAAGAGGCAAAAGACAGTCCCTGACCTCAAAGACTTTTATAACCTAATGAGATGATATATATAAAGTACTTTGAAATCTTAAAGCACTATATTAATGTTATCTATTATTATGCCCTAAAATGAACAAGTTTGTTATGAAACATTTGCAATATATTCAAAACCCACTAATCAGCCAAGTTTTAATAATCCAAATATGGGACATTTTAGTGACCCCAGCCCACATTTCTCTCCCTATTCCATAGAATGGTATGTTGAGTGTTTCTACCCATATTGTCCCTTCATCTGGGAGAATGAGTTTTAGAGTTAGTTAGGATGAGATGTGGGAGCAAAGGAGAAGGAGGTATGTTTTCCTTCTTTATACATCAAGTATTTTAACCATTTAAATAAAAATGGATAGAGATCTTATTCCAGCTACTTCATCTGTAAGAATTACAAGGTAAATATACACTGGTGTTGAGGAAAAGCACCAGGCAGAATGGTGGCCATGATATCTAGAGGGAGAGGGAAACAGGATATACATGAATCATAAAAGACCTCAAAGGATAGTCACGTTTTTTTCGGTGATCCTTCCATCCTGTCTTTACTTCTTTGTTTATTACATCCCTTGCCCTCAAAATATGGCAGGGCATAGTGGGCAGTACTGACTGCTATTTTGTGAATTCTGGTGAGTGATAATTATAATATCATAGACGAGGGTCTAGTTCCTTGCCACAATTGAGTTCATATCACAGTAAATTTAGAGATGGAAGAGAATTTAGAAATCAAAATTCACTCCTTGCCTTCAACTGTATTTTGCATGGCACTTCCAAATCACCTTTTGCCCAAAGATTTTTAAACTCTTGAGAAATATGGTTTAGCCAAGAAACAAAGTTTTGAGGTATAGAATTTCTGCTCCCATTTTTTTTTTCATATGGAGAAAGATTTATCAAGAGCAAAACAATTTTATCTTTGCTTACTTTTTAGTTGATGGCAGGATCAAGGAGAGGCCCCAGTTATTCTGGTTGCTAGTTCTCTATATTGATCTTGAAGGGAAGAATTAAATGTGAGAACCAGTTTGGAAAACTTCAAAGGAGTCACCACTTTCACAATCAGCCCCCCAAAATACAAATTCAACCTATTATAAACGTTCATTTCTAACTCTTTAGATATGGCCAAATCTAAAAAGAGTCAGGATGAGAGACTCTTGCTCAAGTCAACATTTTTGTCTTGGCTGACATTAATTCCGCTCAGGACTCTTAATTTCTATTACAAAATCTCTTTTTTTGTGGGAGAATAATACTACATATACTCTGATAATTATATGAGCTATTAAGTAAAAGGATGGGATTTTCCCTCAAAATGAAAGCTTTTTTTTAAAATTAAGGGCAGGATAGATTTGAAATCCATTTTTTAGCTAGTTAACCACAAACAAGCTTTCTTTTAGAATTGATTTTTGGTCTGAGTAATACTCATAGGAAATAATACACCATGTTTTCTACAAAGAACCTCACATCTTACATGGACTTTAGATAAAATTAATAATAAAGTAAAAATGTGACAAAACAATGAAAGTGTTTTATGGGAAGGCAGTTGTCAAACTATGATCCTCCAATGCAAGGAAACAATCGTTGTTGTTGTTCAGTCATTTTCAGGTGTGTCCAATTCCACAGCCCCATTTGGGGTTTTCTTGGCAAAGATACTAGAGCAGTTTGCCATTTCCTTCTCCAACTCATTTTACAGATGAGGAAACTGAGACAAACGGGGTTAAGTGACTTGCCCACGGTCCATCTGCTGCACCTACCTCCCCTAAATAATTGTTATTACCACCAAAATAAATGGTTACATTTATATAGTAATTTAAGGTTTACAAAGGATTTAGTATATATGCTAAGTAGATGAGGTAAATATTGTCATCCCCTTTTGGCAATAGGGAAACTGAAGCTCAGAGAGATGAAGTGATTTTCCTATAAGCAGTTTATCAATGAGTATTTATTAGGTGTCTACTATGTGCTGGGTACTCCAGTAGGCACTGGGTGTAGACCAACCAGGAATGAAACAATCTCCATTCCCAAGGAGCCTACATTTTATTGGGAGAGATTGCATGTAAACATATGAGTAAATATCAAATAAATGCAAAATCAATATGTTAACTAAATTCAAAGTAGTTAGGGACGGGGAGAGAGAACTAGAAGCTGGGAATAGAGAAACACTTTGTATAGAAGTTAGTTCTTGATCTGCATCTTGGAGAAAAAGAGGAATTCTGTGAGGTAAAGGTAAAAAGGAAGTACCTTCCAGCATGGGAGAACAGCCATTGAAAACGTACAGAGATAGAAGATGGAGCGTCAACATGTGAGGAATAGAGAAAAGACCATTTTGGCTAGACTGAAGAGTGCAGGAAGAGATGAGTCTGGAAAGGCAAACTTGTAAAGAGCTGAATAGAGGATTTGAGGCTAGAGGTAACAGAAAGTCACTGAAGTTTATTGCATGGAGAAGTGGCGAAACACTGAAGCAAAATCACTTTGGCAACAGTGTGGTGGACAGATTGAAGCGGGGAGGCACAAAGTGGGGTGAATAATTTGGAGACAGTTGCAATAATCTTGGTGAGAGGTGACAAAAAGCCTAGACTGCTGGGAAGTTGTTAAACTAGGAATCAAAGCCAGGTCTTTTAACTCTCAAACCAGGGTTTTGTCATGTGCTTTCTCCACAACACGCAGCCTTCCATCATTAGGAGCAGTAAAATATCTGCCTTGACCCGCCCTGCTTAGTTTATGTTCTTGGCTTAAAGATATAATTTAGCACATTTAGGATCATGTTTGTTATGGGATTTTCCCTGTGTCAGCTCTTAGTTCCATGAAGCTAGTGAGCATAGACTCACAATCTCCCTTGTGAAGAATGGAGTAGTTAAGGAGCAAATGCTATTGAGTTATCATAGCAAAATTGGTATATCATGGTATACCAAAGATGGTATATCATAGCAGCGGAATTCTGGGGTATGGAAATGCAATAGCTACAGGCAGTAATCTGAATGTGTATTCCAGCATCTCTCCTATACTGAAGTTATGTGAAATCAGCATATATAAGCTGGGAGAAACAGGAATGCCTCTGCTGGTGTTTGAAAATTGGCATTCAAAGTCATGTTAGTAGGGGGAGGGGGAAAGGGAGAGACAGAGACAGAGAGAGATACAGAGAGAGAGAGAGAGAGGAGAGAGAGAGAGAGGGAGAG